TGTTCCCACGGGGAAAAGGTTCGATTTTCCCCTTCACTTATAGCTGGGAATATTAGACTTATTGAACTTAACACTGATCCTAACACCATAGTTTAAATATTTCTAACCATCTTGTTCTAATATATTATGTAAAATCCAGGCCCAAGTTTATGAGTATATAGTATCTCTACTTGCAAAATGTGAAAACAAAGAGGCAGCACTGATTTTCAGGGTGAGCAGGTTGCAAATAGGTGATGAAAAAAGACAGGACAGGAAGCAAGAGTTATACAAATCATTGTTCGTTGACCTGAGAAATCCAGAAGAGCAGATTTGAACTTCAAAATGCTCAGATATATCCTTGTTGTCTGATGAATTTGGAGATTTGAACAAGTAGTGTTCAACTTAAAACTGATCATTTAAAATTATGACAGATTTCCCAAAGGGTATTTATGACCCAGTTTCTAAGTTCCCATGACTGCCCCCTTGAACTCATATGACTGCATTTTGGCACTTGGCAACTGGCTCACATTTACCACCATTTACAATATGACTATCTCCAGAAGATAGAAATAAAATAATCTTGATAGGTTAGAGATAGGGGCTGAAAATAATGGAATGCAACCTACCAAGGTTTAAAAATAAATTTTACTGTGAGACAGGAGTCCCCAACCCTCAGACTGTGACTCACTTTGGGGCTTTGAGCTGATTGGAATCAGGCTGCAAAAGTGGAGGAATACGTAAATGCATGCATGCATCACCTCTTGTGCGAGCAGTGGGCAAGTGCACACTCCATTTGAACAAGTGGCAGGTACTCGTGGCCGCCACTCATATAATGGAGCAATTGTCAACATTCCAGAAAACCTCCACCCCCACTAATAACTCCAAGTCAGACATCCTCTTCAAATTTCTTTTTATTAAACTGGCACATCTGGGAAATCCCGAATCTGAAAGCTTCAGGTTTCCTTGTAATAAGTAAAAACTACAAATCAACCCGCTTCACACACACCCCATAGCATCACATGCCCCAATCACCATCCATCCCAGCTTGAGACGTCCTCTCAACCAGGTGCAGAAATAACATGACCTTGACTTAGAAGAAGAATGCTATTATGTCTAACCACATACACTCCAAGAAATTCCCCCCCTCCCATTTTCCCAGGCTCAAGAATGTAGCAGTGTGGAAGCATCTGATGCTAATATGGCTTCCAAAACTGACAGCAGCAGACACACATCCGCTTCCCCGCTGCTTGCAGAAAACCATCCCCTCTCCCCCCGCCAGTCCACAAAGGCAAAAAGGTTGAGAAACTCTGTTGTAGAACATCAAATACACAGTTATAAGAAACGATTTGTAAATGGTACTTGAAAAATCAATCTTAAAATAATAGTTAATTACAAACTGCATTATGAATCAGGGGCATTTGACTGAAAAAAAGGGAATTACAGATTCCAAGGCAAAGAAAATTATGCACTAATCAGATTCCAATTTGAAATTTGTGTCCACTTCTGCAAACCAACAATTTAAAGAAAGTTCATATAAACTGGAACTGGTTGACAGGATGGCTAGAATGACAGGAATCTGAAAAATAAGTCCTGTGCAGAGAAGTTGAAGGACTGAGCATGTTTAGTCTTCTGTAGCATAGATTAATGAACAGAATTCATTAAAATATCTGAAAGGACATTATAGAAAAAAAGGTAAAACATGTTTTGTACTTTACAAAATGCAAAATACAGAATAAGATATTCTTTTTAACAGATTTTAATGGAACATTAAAATATTATTTTGGATGATATCTGAACCATTGTTAATATGAATGTGCAAAAAGAAGGCAGTTTAAAGATAAATATGTTGAAAAATATACTGAAAACTTGGGATGTATCAGGAAAGATGTTTATACTTGAAGTATAGACAAACAGATTATTTTATTTTCTTGGAAAGAAAATCCTTATTTACAATCCTAGACTGAAGATTTGCAGTTGCTTTCAGCTTTGAATTGGCTCTCTGTCAACAAACTTTGTATGGATAAGATTTAAGTTATTGTTTAAAAGCAAGATCACCACTTGTCAACCCTTCAAATTAGGCCAGTCAGGAAACAGACCGTGTAAGGACTACAGTAATGACTATTACTATGGATATAATAATAGAATCTTGAAGCCTGTCAGGGCTTCTATCTGATTTCTTATACCAAACAGAATCAAGGGAGAGGGAGAGTAGGTTGTATCTGCTTCTTATTATCCTTTTTTCCCCAGAACTGAGTGGTGATTTATTCTACCTCAGCAGTTTATCTAACAATTCTTGAATACTTTTATGAAGGCTACCACAACATCCCCTACACCAATATGTATAATATGTATACAAATAGTCCTCGACTTACAACAGTTCATTTAGTGACTACTTGAAATTACAATGGTACCAAAAAAAGTGACTTACCCATATTTTTCGGAGCATAAGATGCTCCAAAGTATAAGACACACCTAGCTTTTGGAGAGGAAAACAAGAAAAAAAAAATCTGCCTCTGCATACCAGCCATTTGCCTCCTTGCAGCAAACAGCCTGTTTCAGCTTCAGCACAGCCTGACAAGCAGCTGATTGTCAGTGGATCGACCTCCCAACAATCAGCTGTTTCAGGCTGCAGGAATTGCCATCACTTATTGCCACCTCCATGCGCCCAATTTTTGGCCTCCGCATCCCATTTTCAGTCTCCAAACGCCCCATTTTTGGCCTCTGCGCAGCTCATTTTTGCCCTGTACTGGGCAAAACCTCCCTTTTACTAAACCTCCCTTTTATTAAAACTGAAGAATTTTAAAATACTTCTTTTTTTAACTTTGCAAACGTTCCCCCAAGTCCACACTTTGAAAACCAAACTACTATTTGATTAAATAGTACTGTCTATACAAAAATCTATCTGGACCCTTGGGTATATATTTGATGTATTTTTTAAAAAATGAATTCATTTTAAATTTAATACTTATTAAGGTACAAGGCACACCATGCCATAGATCAAAAACATTTTGGAAGCTTAGAATGCAGCTTCTGAGATCTGCAACTAGACATCACACTCCACCCAGATGCTATCATATGAGGACAAATTATGTACTGTAAAGATCGCTTGGAAGTGGAAGATACTTCCAATGTAATCTACCAAATGACCTGCATGGATTGCCCCTGTGACTATGTAGGACAGGCTGGGAGAAAGCTAACCACCAGATTGCAAGAATACAAGTGAACAGTCAGACGAGGAGACCCGAACTCATTCTCACACTACAATGACCAAGTACACACATTCAATTTTGCAGTTACTAAAACTGTTCAACGAGCAGGCACAAAAACAGCCAAGGAAGTGATTGAAGCCTGGGAAACAGGCTCCTTGTCAATCTACAGGAAAGCTGAGTTACCACCAGCCTATCAATAGAAGGCAAGGGCTGGGCAACACAAGCAAATGACAGCTGACAACTTAAAAGACAGCCAACGACACAACCCAATCAACATACATCTAAAGAGCCACATACAAAGGCACTATAAATACCACACAAAACACACACTCTGCTAGACAGAAGTTCCCTTAATATGCACAAGCCTGAAAAATCGGAAGACAAAACCCTCTGGTCCTGGTTACCGATCCATGTTGGATGCTGCAACATTATCCTGAGACATGTATATTTGCCTTCATCCCTGAATACTTATTAAATGTGATTTCCAAGCTTAAAAATTTATCCAGAAAAATGGAAATGTTAAATTGAAATGTTTTCCCATAAAAAGTGATTACACAAATAACTATGCCATTTTGCAATTCAGGGAAGGTTACAATTATTTTAGATAGCTACAAGAGTTAATCAAATACTTACAATCAGTGCAAATTAAATCAGCAAGATTTGTGTCAAATATAGAAGTGACCTAATCTTACTGAAATTAAATTTTGAAACAAAACCAAACCCACAGCTATACTTGGAAACAGCATGCCTAGAACTTGAAGCTAAGAAAAAAACATGCCAACTTATAAATTTCTCCAAGGGAAGGTTTATAATGGAAATGGCAACAGACTCTTAACTACAGTGGTGCCTTTTTATGCCAACATATAAATAATTTTAGCTTTTATAGTCACATCATAAATTAGATTTAGTGCAAGTAGAAACAGTAGAGTGCTAATTCAGTAAATAGAAAGACCAGGAGCACATGTTGGCATTTTTAAAAGACAGGCACTGACTTGATAGTGAGTCTGAAATGAAGTCTGTAAACAGGTTTGAGTTCTTTTTTTTAAATACTTTACTATAGACAAGCCATGAGTTTTTTAAGCTTATAAAAATAAGCATCTTTTGCAAGTTATAGTGTCTGTTTCAAATATTCTAAGAATCATTTAAGTAGGTTAGTAAAAATGACTCCATTCAACCCATAGTTTCTCCACTGTGGAGAAAAATACACACAAACAATTATTCAATGTTTTTCAACCATAGCAATCTTGTATGGACTTCATGGCTGGCTGGAGGAATTCTGGAACTGAGGTCCACACAACTTAAAAGTTACCAAGGTTGTGAAACACTGCTTCAATCAAAAGGAATTAAGTATAGTTTGTGGATAAGGTGCTTTAAAAAAAAATGAAACAAAAGCCCTGATGACTTTTCTTAAACCATAAATAACTGTCTCCGTTTCTGTCTCTGTCATAACTTTGAGTGGTTGCTAAGTAACCAATTGTAAATTGAGGATTTCTGGCCCATAGGTAAAGTATAATAATAAAACAATAACATATAAAAAGTACATTTAAAAAAAATCAGAAGTAGGGTTCTTAAAAATTGATTGTTTCAGCGCCATCGCAACTTTTGAAAGCTGAACAAATGGTTGTAACACAAAGACTAACTTGTGAATTCATACGAATTTGTAGGTGGACTTGAAAAAAATGTTTTAAGATTGGAAAGATTTTTTTTTCATATTTGGCAAGCTATACGCCTCTTCACAAAGAACATGTTTGGCCAAACTAGTATTCAAATAGCCAAAAGGAAGCAAGTGAGAAAAAAATGAGAAAGACTTACCACCAGAAACCGGGGCATCCATAAAAACAGCTCCCATTTTTTCAGTTTCTTTAGCTAGTTCTTTTGAAACTTCAGGGTCAATAGTACTGGAATCTATTAATAAAGAACCTTTCTTCACTTTCCTGAAGCAAAGGAAGACAAAAAAACAAAACCCAGAGGTATAATCACAAAGTAGGTAATTACCTCTTTGATATTGCTACAAATTTGCTCATAAAATTTAACTCCAGAAGAAGTCACAATATTCAAGCCAACTTGTAAAACTTTTTCATGATACTTTTTGATACTGATTTCATACATTCACAATAAATTATCTACACCTTGCAAAAACATATACTTAAGTTATTTTTACAATTATTGACAATTTTTTCTTTGAGTAAAGGCTTTATTACCAGGAATGGAAATGCTGCACAGCTTTGTAGAATTTTTATTTATTTATTAAATTTATATGTCACCCATCTTTCCAGTGAGAGATTCTGGGTGGCCATTTTCAGCCAGTTTTTCTCTCAGCTCAAATTTTCTCACAAAACTGTTATAGTGCAGATACACGTAAGTCCTCAAATTGTGGCAATTCAGCCCAAAATTTCTGTTGCTAAGTGAAACAGTTTTACAACTTTTCTTACTACAGTTGTTACTGCAGTGGGTAAAATAGTTACATGGTTGTTAAGTGAATCTGGTTTCCTTATTTACTTGGCTTATCAGAAGGTTTCAAAAGGTGATCACATGACCATGACACTGTAACCATGAATCAGTTGCCAAGCATCTAAATTTTGATCACATGACCAGGGGAATGCTGCAATCGTTATTAAGTGTTAATAGTTATCACTAAATAATGGTTGTAAGTTGAGGGCTACTTGTAAAATTAAGCATGACCTCTATATATGAACTCTCAGAAAAAGTAGAATATAAATGTAACACAAAACAACATGACAGATCTAGATAATGTTAACTCCAATCCCCAAGAATCCTAATCAGTATAGTCATTAATAAGGTATGCTGGGACTCGTAAGACATCAAGTTGCTCTAGAAAACTGTAACAATAATTAACTATGTACAATGAAGCATGCACACTTCTCCATGATGATAGCTGGAAACAAATTCAACATATTTGAGAAATTACTGAACTGCTACAGGATTTAATAACATTCAATAAAAATACAAGTAGAATATTAATATAAAGAAAAAAGGGGAATCTTACTTGAGAATTCCATTGGTACCTATGTAAACCTCTATTGCATTAGGATTAGATGGAAGCATTGTAATAATCCTATCTGCTTTATCTGCTACATCTGCTGGAGAATCAGCCACCTTTAAAAAAAAACAAAAAGGAAAGAATGCTTTTGAAGAAAGATTTGAAAAGAAAAACTAGCGATTCCGAACAAAGAATTGTGAAAAGGGAAAAAAGAAAAAAGAAACCTAAAATATAGTTGGATAGTTACACTTAAGTTTCACACAGGTTACATGGCAACACTGACATAGATTGAGTTTCAGATGAAAAGCTTTCAAAAAGAAGAAAAATGATCTGAAAATGTATTTAAAAAAAGAGATGTACTCAAAATACATGTTTTAGAACTACTAGTTCAGAAGTAATTTGTCATCAAGATTATGATGCTTAATTCTTAATTATAAAACTAATTGGACCCCTTCCGGTCAGGTTTCAGGTCAGATTATGGGACAAAACAACACCTATTAATCATCTCTGGCGTAGGATGGGATAATGCATCCATCCTTGCTGTCCTTGATCTCTCAGCTTTCAATACCATTATACCCTTATTGGTATCCTTATTAGGTTAACCATGGTATCCTTATTGGGTTGAGTTCAAAATTTGGGGGTGAGTGATGCAGTTTTGTACTGGTTACTACTGGTTTTGTAGAAGTAAGAGATCCAGTCAATGGCTACTCCTTTGTGGTGTGCTACAGGGCTCTATACTCTCTCCACTCATTTTCAGCATCTACATGAAGCTGGATGAGATCATCCAATACAATGGGATGAAGTATCATGAATATGCTGATGATATCAACTTTGTATCTCCATGGTGGCCCAAGTTTAGTTTACTTTATTGTCATTGCACCTCGTACAACAAAAGCATCTTCCATGCACATCATGACCATGAAAATAAACACAAACATCCTTCACACTCCACATTGAATTGAAAACCCTGATACTGCACCAACACTGCACTATACAGTAGAATTCAAAAGCTACTGTCCTGGGATAGAAGCTATTTTTTAGCTATTTGTCCTGGTTTTTATTATTTTGTACCATCTGCCAGATGGTAATCGTTCAAAAAAAGGCTTCCCAGGATGAGATGGATCTTTGAGAATGTTTTGAACTTTCTTAAGGCAGCGGGAGCTATAAAACTACAACGCTCTTGCAAAGAGGGGAGAGGGCAACCAATGATCTTCTGGGCAATGACATTAACCCTCTGGAGTGCTTTCTTATCTGCCACTGTGCAATTGGCAAACCATACAGAGGTGCAGTAAGTTAAAATATTCTCTATGGTGCAGTGGTAGAAGGTCACCAGCAGTTTTTCATTCAGTTGTTGTTTTCTGAGAAGTCTCAGGTAGTATAATATCTGCTGGGCCCTTTTGACCAGGGCTGCAATGTGGGCACTGCAGGTCAGGTCCTCTTTTAGGGTAACACCCAGAAACTTAAAACTGGCCACCTGCTCCACTCGGTCTCCATTGATAAGGGCTGGATATTTGATCTGTTCCTTCTATAATCCACTATAAGCTCCTTGGTCTTATTGGTGTTGAGGACCAAGTTATTGTCTCCACACCACGAAAGTAACCGGTCCACCTCATCTCAGTAGGCAGACTCACACACACCCCTGGAGATGAGTCCCACCACTGTTTTATCATCTGCAAATTTAATATATAAACCAAGTATTGGTGTCACTGCACTGTCATGGTGCCTGGAGACTGTGGGGCCTTGAACAGGGACAAAATAAGTCTGGTACTCTGGAACTCTGTTAAAGACAGTAGCTATATGAGTCTCAGGATCTGAGAGTTCAACATCTTTTACTCTTGAATAGGGTTGCATTGTCCCAGACAGGCCCAGTCTTCAACTTGGGAGTTCTCCTAGACCAGGGGTGGACAAACTACAGCCTGCGGGCCACATCCGGCCCGTTGGTCTTTTTAATCCGGCCCGCCGAAGATTGGTACAGAATTAAGGTTTGATGTGAATGATTGCATTCATTTGATTTTGACTTGTAATGACAGGCATCTTGACATCAGGTGGTGCATTAGGCGCAGTGACTTGATTTTGCGGAGATTTTGCAGTTTTTTATATGTATCATATCTTGTGCTGACCCGGCCCGTCTGTCAAATGTTAAAAGTCAATGAGGCCCCCGAGCCAAAAAGTTTGCCCACCCCTGTACTAGACTCATGATGAAGAACAGGTAGCTGTCATGGCTAGAAAAGCCTTTGTACAACTTTGTGTTGCACTCTGTCCTGCATCATGAGACCCTGCGCCGGTGGTGGGATTCAAATTTTTTTACTATTGATTCTGTGGGCGTGGCTTGGTAGGTGTGGCGTGACTTGGTGGGCATGGCTTGGTGGCGTATCCAGAGGAAGGATTCTGCAAAATCTCCATTCTTTCCCCATCCCACTAACCTGCTTTCCAGCTCCATTCTCCTGCACAGGGCAACAAAAGAAGACCCAATCAATCAGCTGGGACTCAGGAGGCAGATAATAGATGGGGGTGGGGCCTGTCAGAGGTGGTATTCTGAATTACTCAAAATTTCTACTACTGGTTCTCTGAACTACTCAAAATTTCTGCTACCAGTTCTCCTGAACTGGTCAGAACCTGCTGGACACCACCTCTGCCCTGCGCTCAGTTACTCATGCCCTGGTCATCTTGCATTTGGACTACTGTAATATGCTCTATATAAGGATCCCCTTGAAGAGTATTCAGAAGTTGCAACTCGCATTGATGCAGTTGTGCAGATAGTTCTAGGGGCCCCTAAGGTGACCCAGGTAACACTACTATTGCACAAGCTGCACTGGTTGCTAGTTCACTTGTAGGTCCAATTCAATGTTGGTTATTATCTCTTAGGCCCTTTATGGATTCAAGCTTATAGCATTCAAAGCAAGACATAAAGTTATATACTATCTGCAATTAAAGATAAGAATGAGTAGAACTGGCACAGAATTGTAGAATTTTCATTGTTAGACCTATTAATCTATGACCATTTAAAGATGATTCAAAGTGATGGTGGCCTTGGAAAAAGTGACTTATGAACCATCCTCAACTGTCATACCATCTCACTCTAGCGAAATGATCGCAGTGTACACACCTGGTACCAGTTCACATTTACGATGGTAGAACATCTTGTGGTCACATAACAAAATCAATTGGGCAATGTGATTCACTTAACCACCAGATGGCTCACTAAACCAGTTATTTGCTTAACAACATGGTAAAATGGTCATAAAATTGGATCATGTCACAACTTACTTGATGACTATTATCACTTAGTGACTAAAACTGGTGTCAATTGTGGTAGTAAAGGACTACCTATATCATCATACTTTACATCAGGGGTCCCCAAACTTGGCAACTTTAAGACTGGTGTCAATTGTGGTAATTAAGTAAAGGACTACTTATATCATCACATCAGGGGTCCCCAAACTTGGCAACTTTAAGACTTGTGGACTTCAACTCCCAGAATTCTCCAGCCACATTATTGTGTTTTTATAGATAGCCGTTTATAGTTTTTAATTCCATATTTTCATCCTCATACATATTCAAAACAATTTCAAATAAGGCTCAGTATACATCATGTGGATTCAAAATCTGTAAATTTATCAACTTAAAGGTGGTGAATCTCTGGCTTCCAAATTATTTTGAAATGTGAAGCTAATAGAAACTACTGTGTTTTTCACAAAATAAGGCCGGGCCTTATTTTTGATCCCTCCAAAATGGCTAGGCCGTCTTTTCGGGGGTGACTTAATTTCCCTCCCTTGCATCCTCGGACGGGCGGGCAGCAACGGCTTCATATCGGGAGACCTTCCTCCACCGTTGCTTTCCCTTCTCCCTGTGCTGCGCAGCATTTGGCGCAGCCACGCGGGGCCGGCCAGGGCTCCTCCCTGCAACCGGAGCCCAGCGGAGACACTCAGCTTCAGGCACTCCTGTCACCGCCTTCCCGGGCATCGTTTGAAGGCAAAGCCCATTCTTTTAAAAACGACGCCCTACTATGACAAAGCCTCCCCTGCCCAACCCCACGTGGGGAGGCGAATCTCCCGGGGCCGCAGCGCAGGAGCGGCCCACCCCGGGAGAAGCACCCAGCCGCCATCACTGCCTGGCTCTGGGCAGAGCGCGAAGAGCTTCGCCTAGGGCACCCAGCTCAGCTGACAGGCAGGCCCTCGTGCCCGGCGGCGGACCTCTCACCAAGGCAGCGAGCGCCTCCCTGCCGGGCCCTCCGCTCATCCCACCAGGGCCATGCTGGAGCCAGGTGGGCTGGGCAGAGCCAGGAAAGCGAGCTGTGGGTGCACACCCGCCTGCCAAGCAAAAGAGCCGGGCCGACCCAAACTTGGCTTCCTTCGTAAGTCCCTCCAGCCCAACCCCGAAGGGGTCAGCGGAAGAGGCCGCCCAAGGCAATGATAGTGCCCACCCATCCATGGATAGGGAGGCGAGGCAACAGCCCATGCCACGTCCTCCTCTGAGCTGAGCCCCGCCAAGTGAGTGCCTCTGCCTGATGCCCATGTCGCTGCAGCATTTGGAGCTGCCAGCGCGTTTGGAGATGCGTGGGGATGGGGACGGGCTGGCCGAGGGGTGGAAAGGACCGGACAGCTTCGGGCTCTCTCTGCCGGACCCGCCAGCCAGGAAAGCAGCGCTGCCGTCACCTCGCCTCCCTGTCCGCGGATGGGTGGGCGATATCACTACCTCGGGCAGCGTCTCCCGGTGGTCCCTTCGGGTTCCAGCTGGAGGGACTTGGGAAGCCAAGCTCGGGTCGGCCCAGCTCTTTCACTTGGCAGGTGGGTGCGCACCCACGGCTCGCTTTCCCGGCTCTGCCCAGCCCTCCCAGCCCTGGCATGGCCCTGGTGGGATGAGCGGAGGGCCTGGCCGGGAAGCACTCGCTGCCTTTGTGAGAGCTCAAATTGTCTATAGCAAAGGCACAAAATCAGGCTCACCAAGGCACCAAAAAGTTTTCTATTAGTGTTTCATTCCCCTTTGGTTAACATGCTATTTAAAAAATTGGAGGAAAGAATAATTGGATTTTTGTGGCCTCTTTCCATCATAACAATGACGTTTCTTATATTTGGTGTCCTAAATAAAGGGTGATTTTAAAAAACAGTAATGCTGATGATGATAAGGGAATTAAGAAATTTCACCATCACATTTCTTGCAAATTTCACAGTCACTTTTAAAAATTAAAATAGCAATGAAATGTTATTATACCTGGGTACCCAGCTCTTGGAATTCCTTACATGCTTCTGGAAATACATCACATGCGATAATGGGATAACCATGTTTCACAAGGTTTTTTGCCATTGGATTTCCCATATTTCCCAAACCAATAAATCCAACTGGAGTTTTGGAAGCCATTGCCCTAGAAGACACTAATTGAAATGCAAATATTTCAGTTAAAAGTTTTCTAATCTTACATCAACTGCAATATACACTTTTCTTTTCTGCTAGTTGCATGTCTTAAGTTATACACTTTTCTTTTCTGCTAGTTGCATGTCTTAAGTTATACTAACAGCAGCTTATATTTCAAGAAAGGTAAGAAAATTGGCAAAAGCAGAAACATTCACTGTTCATTTTATTAAGTAATAGATAGTAAAAATGATCAACACTGAATTCATCAATATTGAATTTCAGTGTGCTCGCTCAAATAAGTGTTTGGTATCTGTAATCCCTCTACAGCAGAGTCCCAAATCAAAAATAGTACAACTACACAATAATTTAAGACTCTGTTAAAAATGCTTCAGATAATCAAGGGGAACCAATCTAACATATATCTCTCTGTTTTAAAGCAGCTGTGTATTTTCCTAATATTGAGAACTCCAAAGCACCAGTTTTAATTGAATCCAAAGCATTTCATAGCTATAATAGATTATGCAAAGGAGCTGACGCAAAGAAGATATAAATTTGAATGGGATACCACAATAAAATTGTATGAATGAAAATTTGCCCTATTTTGTGCTTGAAATAATTAGGGCAAAATAAACTTTTACATACTTTGGTCTTTGCTTTTTTATAAATTATCAAAAACTGCACTACCAAAAATCACCATTCTTCCACTGCAACTTACAAAGCCACAAAAATCAATTGGTGAAAATCCTAAGGTGTTTTTGTGGTGCCTTACCTTTATGAATTCAAAATCAGCTTAGAATTTAGTATTCCTTTTAAATCTGAATAGTTTTTTTAAATAAAAATAATCACAAAAGGGATGGCTTGTTTAAGCTATTGCTTCTTCATTTTAATGGAAAGCCAGTTTGATCTTGTGGTTAAGACCAGGCTGGAAACTGAGAGATCATGAGTTCAAGTCAAAGCTTAGCCATGAAAGTCAGTTGGGTGATGTTACACCAGTCAGTCTCTGTCAGCCCAAGTCACTTACAGAGTTGTTGTTATGGGGAAAATAGGAGGAAGGAATGTTATATATGTTAGACATCTTTCTTGAATTGTTTATAAATATACAGATGGGATATAAATAAATACATTAAATAAATAAAAGTATAATTTAGAAGTCTAAAGAGCCCGTGTCTATTTTAGTTTCACAAAATTTCAGATTTACCCTTTTATCCATTGTTTTTGCTTACAAAGCAAGAAGCATATATTCAAAGAAAATTTAGAAAATCAACTTTCCTAAAAAGGAAATTTAATAAAGATTCAGATTCCTTCTTTTCCTGTCTACAGATTCAGCCAGCTGCCAACAGCTGCAATCAAACTAACAGCTGTCTACCAGAAATTGGGATGACTCAAACTCTTATCACATGGCAAATTTCCTGAATCTAAAGATGATATTTAGGGAACATAATGGAAAACCTTCACCATAGTGTGATTTGGTCAGTTTGTCCCTGTTCTGAAAATTATCCTGATATTTACCTGATTATTTAAGCAGATGTTCATTAGAACAGACACTTGGATGTGAACAAAAGAAGAAACTAAACATAATCCCATCTATACTTTGTAGGGGTTGTATACATATATGTTTTAAAGTTAATCATAAGCTATCATGCCAGGTGCAAGAAATGGCTGGCCTATGAGTTGAGAGAAGCACATAGCATTTTGGAATCTAACTTGTAGCTTCTTTGGGGGAAGAAAAGACTTAAAGGGGGGAAAAGTGTTCATTGTCATATGCCCTGCCTCAACAATCAACAATTATTTAGTTTAGAATGAAACACAGGAAAGGAATATAAAGTAGTATGCAAAAGATTAAAGATGCTACTGTAGTAAAAAATATTGCATTATGCATTTTTGCTCCTTTAATAATCATTCATTTCTTGTATCAGTCCACTTTTGCCCCTCTTAAAATTTCTCTATCTAATCTTTCACTTTTAATAAACATTCTACAAGATAAACATATATTCATATAGTTGCTCTAGTATTTTTACCATAAATGAACTTGTGGACCAAGCACTAAAGGTAGCCCATGACTCTTGAGCACAATTGGGACCAGAATTTTGATTGTTAAGCAATATAGTTGTTCATTGTATCACCTCCAATTTTATGACCTCATTTGCCATGGTTGTTAATGCAATAAATATATATTGGCAATTATATGAATGTGTATTTATTATGATAGTATCCCAGAAAATCACTGTAGTTGCTAAATAAATCATGCAATCATTAAGCAAATCCAACTTCTTTTGCTGATTTTGCTTATTTTGGGTGATTTTGGAAGCTAGATGGAAAAGTCGCAAATGGTGATCATATGACCCCAGGACACTATAACTGTCCATAAACACATGACTAGTTGTTGAATGCCCACATTTTGACCATGTGACCATAGGATTCTGAAATGGTTATTAAATGCGAAGACTGGTTACAAATCATTTTTTTCAGTGCTGCTGTCATTTCAAATAGTTGCTATATCAACAGGTCAAGGGCTACCTATATAGATCTGATATACAAGATCATACTACTTTCATCCTTACTATGTCTCACACTCAATCTATCTATTTCTCTTTCTTTTATTCATTCATGCTGTATAAAATGATTGAAAAAGTAATTTGCACCAGTCCTCACTTATGGATCCTGCAGCACTCCCATGGTCATATGATTGTGATTCAAATGCTTGGCAACCAATCAATATTTACTACAGTTTTAGCATCTCAGGGTTATGTGATTGCCATTTGTGATCTTCCCAGCCAGCATTCAACAATCAAAGCCAATGGTGGAAGCCAGGTTCTCTTAGTGACCACTTAATTCACTTCATAATCATGGCAAGAAAGGTAGGGGGTGATTCACTTAACAACTACTCTACTTACCGATGGAAATTCTCATCGTAAGTCAAGAACTAGCTGTAAAAAAAGATCCATCATAATACGGTATATGAAAAAAGAGTTAACTTGGTCCTGGTGTGCAATAACAATATGCTTTTTTATATGGATACCAGAGAGGACAGTTTTCACTGCTATTTTTTTCTGGCAAACATAAGAAATATTTTTAAAAGATGAATAATACTAGGAACCAGAATCAATAAAGTTTACTGAAAAGATATTTACTGCGCTATTCATGCTCAGCAGCTAAGCTAAATAAAAATACTGTAGACATGGCAGAGACAGAACATTTAGGAAATATTCTTCAACAAATTGGTTGCATCTGATGTTTTTATAGAAACTATGATTTTAAGCTTTTTGTCAACATAGATATATCTGCTTTCCACATAGGATTGTTAATGCCATAAGTAATGCAAATAAAAAAGTTTCATCGTGATAAATTAGGCCACTGAAATGAAAAATTCTTTATGTAAACCCAGAGTTCTTTGAGGATAAAAGATTGCTCGTTCAGTTATGACATTAAAATAAATACTATGAGTGAAGCCATGCTCAGAGGTACCACCCTGTTCATTTGCTACTTCTAAGTTTGGTATCTAAGATACTATTTTTAATGGGTTCAAATGGTAGATCTAAGAGAGATACAGAGAATAAAGAAATAGATCCTTTAAGTCTGTAGTCAGGTCCCAATCCAGAAATGTATATACAGTATGAATAAAAATCAGTCTGCATGAGTGGGTACACCTGTACTAATTTACCCAGCAGATGGTTTGAGTTATTGAACAGCAGCTGTACTGTGCAATGTCTCAAATTATGTGTGCAGTTTCCAGGGTTTGGGTTTCTAGAACAGAAATACACATGCAACAACTTTCTCAGTAAAAAGAAAAAAATTGCAGCAACAGATTGAAAAGATGAACCATCTTTTTAAATAAGCGGATAAATATTGTTTTTTATCAAAAGGAAAAAAAAATCTTAGTATAACAAAAATTAAATATGCTTAACAACAATTATGTATTGGCTTATATTAATGTTAAGGAAATAACATATTAATTATAGATGCTCAGAGTCACTTAGATGAGTGACATATAAATTTATTAAGCAGAATATTTAATATTCTATATTAAAGACTAGAAAATGTGACACTGTAAATTCAATTTTCTGTCTTAGCCCAACTCATCTCACAGGATTATTGTGGGGAAAATATCAGCGGTTGGATATGTTTGCCACCTTGGGTCATTTGTGAAATAATAAAGATAGAATATAAATAAATAAGAATAATTGAATAATTTTCAAATAAGAAAATTGCTTAATTTATCGCTATATATGGAAATTATAAATCATGGTATTAGTTTTTATTAACCTTCAAAACTGATGATTACAGCATTATTAACAATAGAAAAAAAAGTAACAAAGTACCCAGCAAAGAGCTGAATTTATCAACCAATGAACTCTGAAATAAAAGGTTGCAATAAAGAGCACTATTTCCAAAATCTTAACACTCTATCCCTTTTTTAATTCAGAGAAAAGTCTGATATGCTTACTGGGACCAATATTACCAATTATATTTGATATTGCAATATAAGCAGCCATAATAATTTTATTAATAATTTATTAATTTATTAACTTGTTAATAGAAAGGGCATAATTTGGATCTATTTAGATAGCACAGTGGTTAGAATGTAGTATTGCAGTTAACTCTGCCTACTGTCAGGCGCTTGATTCTCAACACCTCAAGCCTTCCGTCCTGCTGAGGACAGTAAAGTAAGAACACAGATAGTTGGGGGCAATATGCTGACTCGGTAAACCTGTTAGAGAGGGCTGTAAACTATGAAGTGGTGCTATTGTGCTATTACTATAAAAGGTATGAGTAGATTAAGACATTTAAGACATTATAATTTACCTTAAGTAATCTAATAATTATGTAGAGTTTTTTCTTCAGTTGTAGACTGCACTAAACTATGTGATATATCACCTTGAAAAACACATTGATGCATTTGGACAACTAAAGGAATTAAAAAAAACCCTTGCTTATACAGCAGCTTTGCAATGCTTCTTGTAAATTTCTAGATAGCCCTTACAAAAATGTTAGTATTACTCTTCACGTGCTTAATTTTTACAAGCAGATGATGTATGCCACCCAAAACAGCACGTGATTTTATATCACAGATTGCATTTGAATAAAAGTCATATTTTTCACTCTAAATTTTTTTATTGGAAAACAAATTTACTTTATTGTAACCAAATAAAGCCAATTGTTTTAGTTTTAAAAGATTTAAGATCATTTGGACTACAATACTAAGAACCATCAGGTTTTGAAAAATAATAGCATTCCCTGCTATTGAAGAGATTAATATACAGCTTTTGATGATATAGAAATATAATCCAGGGTATTGCTTTTAAATTCACCATCTGGAAGCAAGATCCATTAAACGTAGTAAGGACTATTTTGTGAATATATATATGATTCTATTTCAAACTAATTTATCCCAAACAATGAATATGTATATTTCAACCCGTTTTACATAGGCAAAATAATTTGACTTTCCAATTAACCAAAATCTCCTTTTCTTCTTAGAAAAGAAAAAAGTATTATGGGGAAAAGCAAATATGAACCGAAGCTAATATTAATCTGCTACTTTAGGATAAACAAACTTTTGTGACTTCCATCTGTTGTTTTAGACGAACAGCATTTAGCACCCAAAAAGGTCAGGTATGATTCCTGTATAAATGTTACAAATGGCATGGCTTAAATATATATGCAAAGACTTAAGAGTAGAAAACCCGACTTCTCTGAAGGCATTACATCGCGTGCCAAGGCATACTTGATATGAATATTTATTAAAAGCAGGCAGATTTTGAGAAGCACATTCTCTCGCCCTCTTATTTCATGAGATGCCCCTTGCCTTACGGTGATCCAATTCTCGCCCAGGCGGATATCTACATATTGAAGGGCTAGCTAATAAGTTTGGCCACGGGACAGGAACCCCAACTTTTGCGAAGCGACAAGGAAAAGGGTTAACAACTGCAACATGTTTGTCCTCCTGGAGGGCCGAGCACCTTTTGGATTCTCCTACAAGACGCCACGAGCCAATTTACGCCTCCTCGTCCGGCGGCGCGAGCTCAAATTGCCTTACCCCAAGCGAGCCAGTCTGCACAGACTTTCCCATGCCTGTGCAGCAAACTAACGGAGGCTCGGAGCATTAACGCTGCTGCCATGCTGCTTGCCCGCCTCCGTTCCGCGACCTCTAGTAAGACGCCACCACCTTCTTCGCTCCCTTAGCTTGGCTCCACTGGCTGTGGCGAAGCACGGAAGGAGGCAGAGAAAAAGAGTGACATCCAAAGCCACCAATCACCATTTTCGATTGGCAGCAAATCCCCCAATCAAACCAAACGTTCTCCAGTCGGTGACCTGCCGCAGCTCCTCCCTATCCCATGATAGGCGTTGTTTTCTCCAGAAATATAAAACTAGTTTGTGGTGCTGCGTTTCTTCTTGGTTAACTAAAATCTTTGCCCCGAAATTGGTGTTGGTGGAATGCAGACCTGCCGCCGCAAGCAGGATTGTATTACAATTCCTATCAATCCCAGCCCTGGGAATTATGGCAGTAGTAGTTTATTGCAACTATTCGTGGACAGCTATATAATTAAGTGGCAAGAAAACAGAGAAAGTGATTTTAAAAAATGGTTTAACTGTTCTCTGCTATCTCAATATGTGTACATTTTTTAAAAACCCTTTCATCTCCCGCAGCTGAGGCACTGCAAGGGGAAAAAGTGAGTCCAATGCTTTTTATATAAACCGCCACTTTTACATGCAATTATAAAATATTACATTGTTACATTATATTACATAAAAACTACAAAAATGTAACTCAGAAAATGACAGGTAGGGAATTTCTCATCTATATATTCATTGTAAAAAAGCAATCCCTAAAGCACAGAACAATACAAACCAATGCAGGTGTGAACATATTTCAGAAGGAAAAAAAAATAGAAGGTGCCGCAGCAATGATTTACTCAAAATTCCAGATGTCTTAAGCAAGTTCCAAGCTCCCAAGGATAACACCAACCATAACTGAATAGGGAAGGTATTCCATTCTAATAGCTGTAATCCATTCTTAAGATTGCCTGTAAAAATTTTTTTTACTAAAGCCAGGTTAATGCTATCCAGAATAAGAGAAAAAAACACTCCTTGCATTTTACTTCCATTGAAAGTTAAAACTTCTTAGGAACACTTGTACTTACTGTGCATGCTAACCCTAGCTGTTAAGTTTGGGAAAAGAGAGGCTGAACCAGAGCATGAGTGCAACAATACTTTATTATAACAATAAAGGGCTGACCGTGCTTGCCAAGCCGGGAACTGGCTCGCAGCGATCAGCGACTGGTCGGACCCCGCAGCCTGCTTTTATAGCTGGCTGCTGGGGTGAACCAACCAATGGGTAAAGGGGAGAACGCCCCCGCAAAGTGAATGGACCTGAGTGAGAACTCCTAGAGTCCTCAGGACATAACACTAGCCTTTTCAAAACAGGGCATCTGCTTAATTCACATAGGAATTACATATTCATCATACCTCCATTTTGTTGAGATTTAGCCTCAGTTCATTGATTCTCATCAAGCTTGCACTTAAGCAAATAGAAATGATGTGATTTGATATCCGAAAACATCCAACTATACTCTATAGTATTTTATTTCTTACAAAATGGCTTTTTGCTTGATATTATTGAGAGCTCATTTGCAAATTTTAATACCAGACAACACCCAATATTTTTGAAGATATGTCCATGTTTGGAAGTTTAGGCATGGGGGGCGGGGGGGGGGGGGGGACAGGAGAAAAATAAGCCCATATTTTGCTACTATGACATATGGTATCATTGTCCAATTGACATGAAGCATGTGATATCATTTTACTTTCTCCACTGAAACTAAATGATTGGGACTTCCCTTTCCAAACTGAATCTGAGTTAAAAACAAAAAATCCTGGATATATATCTCTTGTTCCTAGGAAATAAAAACATAACTGTTATAAGTTGAAAACATAACTTATAAGTTATAAATAACAATTCATTTTCATATTGGCTGCCTTGTTTTGTTTTCCTTGCGTCACTAGCCAACCTAGTGACTCAGAAATGAAGCTTACAGCATAAACTCTCAAAATTTATCATTTTTTTACTTTTTAAGTTTCAATTTTATTCTCAGTGAGACTTATAAAGTTGGTCCTTGGAACTTGAGTTTCCTAACTTGAAAATTATAGTTCTGATCATTATTTCCAGATTACTGATTTTATTTGATTTCATATTTCTTTTGTGACAGTTTTGGCCTCCACATATAAGATACTGTATGTGAGAAATTGAGTCAAATTATCCTGACTTTTTCATTCATGGATGTTTTCCTGGCCTTTTGCTGTTGTTTTAAGCAAACCGTATCTCATGAAAGCTGTGTGTTAAACTGACATTACAAACATTAAAAAAATACACAAGAAGGGTCAAGATAATTATTGTACTGTATTGGTAAGGTTGCACTGGTAATAAAAATTCCCTAACAAAGTCGTTCAATTCTTTTCCCAGAAATTGTAGGATATTAAAATTAGAACAAAAGAATTAACTATTAATTGCACATCTTTTTCCACATTATAACATTTCTGTGTCCCATATATTAAATACTAGCCAGATACCTGTACTTCGCAATGACACAGTGTGATTGGGCTATGCAGGAGAAATCTGCATAGACAATCCATTGGCTCAGTAGTGGTCAGTGATTGAAACACATAAGGGAATATGCTCCTTGAGTCTGGAAGCAGTTCCATAGTGCAGTACTGACATTTACAGCTGTGTGAAAAAGTCCTGCACGCTTTACGGTTTCTGCTTTATGACATTTTTTGGAGAAGCCACTGATTTTATGATATTTTATGCTAACTGCTATGCAAATATTGTTATATTTAAATAAATACTGATGGTTTTTAAGTGAAAAGCATAAGATTTTTGCAATTTGGTGCTATTTGGATGGTGATTGTGAATTTTCTTGCATGTTTACAATGCATGCTTACAATGACTATGAAAACATTAACTGATGCATACACAGTGGCATACATGTTGCAATTACTAAGGCCGATGCTAGTGTTCTGTTAATATTTTTATTGTTTGTGGCACTGAAAAGGACCATTCAGATACCCAAACATGGCTACTAAAATGAAATTGGCCAGCTCTTATTGCTTATCACCAGGCAGCATTGCTTCAGCATAGACTGTACTAGCTTTGGCACGTGATCTTTGGTGACAATGTGGTGCCAGGCTGCAATAATGGATTCAGTCAGCTCCTGCTTGGTCTTCGGATGCTTCTTGCTTATTTCGTAACCAATCTTGGTCCACAAGTTCTCAATTGTGTTCAAATCTGAGTTCTGAGCTGGCCAATCCAGGAGTCGAACAACATGCTTCTTCATCCACTGCTAGACAGTTTTGGCTCAATGACAAGAGCGTTGTCATCCTGGAAGTAAAAGTCCTTCCCCTACCAGTTGCTGAGCTGAAGGAAGCATGGTCTTTTCCAGGACTTCAACATACTGATTGGAATTCATGATTCCCTGCATGATTTGTATCTGACCAATACCAGAAGCAGCGATACAGCCCCAGATTATCACGTGCAATGGATGCTTCACAGATAGATTCAGGCAGTACAGCCTAAATTCTTCAGCTGGCAATCTTCTGACATACTTATTGCACTGCTTCCCAGTCAAGTAGAAATTGCTCTCATCACTGAAGATTACCTTGGCCCACTGTTCGTTGGTCCACTTGGCATACTTCTTTTCCCACGCACATCGACAAGAGCGGTAAGCATCTGTGAGCAAAGGTTTACTTCAAGCCCTGCAGCCTTTGAGCCCTCTGGCAAGCAGTCTGCAATGCACTGTGCTTCTGTGCACTTTTACATTACATGTTTCACCCCAAATTCTTGTAATCTAAGGTGAGGTGAGCTTGCTGTCAGCTATCGAAATGCATTGCAGAGCCCAATCTTGTCGTTTTGTCGACTTTCTTGGTCTTCCAGAGCAGAGCCTTTTATCAACTGAACCAGTTATTTGGTATTTTTCAACCACTCTGCTCATTGTGATGAAATGGCATTTCACTTTCTTGGCTATTTTTGTATAGGAGTAACCCTCTTCATGAAGCACAATGATGCAATGCTGCTGCTCAGTACTGGTGAAAACAAAGGCCTTCATTCTTGCCTGCAGCCAGAGCTAAATTAAATTTCTTGATGCTTTTCAGGCCTATTTATAATCAGAGAGTATGACAAAGCTCACTGCTGATTGGCTACTTTCATCCTAACATTCTCAAAAATGCAATGTGTTTGTTTTAGCACATAAACTCACTCAAAACCTTAAAAAGACTTTGGTTATATTAATAAAAATTAGGCATATCAATCCGACTACAGAAATTTTCATCGAAGTACTAATTTTGCGTGGTTTCTATGAGTGAAAAGTTGATTAAACATGTAAATACAGCTTAAAACTGAAAGCATGCAGGACTTTTTCACACAGCTGTAGTACTGTAAGGAGCCCCAGATCGCTCCTGAGCTCTCCAATACCCTCTGATGTTCTGCCATGGAGAAGATGGCTATTACATCAATATACCTCTGAGACGCAAAGACCAAGGGTTCTCTCAAGAAGACCATGTCTGCTGCTGACTTTTACAGCTACAGGATAATGGAGCATGATGGCAAAGAATGCTACCCACTGCTGTTCCGCAACCTTGTGAGGCAACTGGCAGTTGGAACTGAGTTCTTTTTAGGTGGGGCGGGGGAGTAGAATGCCTTAACATCAGAGCATGTTAATTACTGTATTAAGAAATAGTAATGATCTGATGGTCATTTCGGAAAATCCTTTCTTAGTGAGCATCTAGAAGCCAAGAGAAATATATGTGCCAAATTTCAAGTTTGAATGCTTTATGGTTCTGGAGATTCATGATGAGTGAATGGTACTTGGCATACATACATACATACATATATGTTTTCGTAGATTTTCACAGGGACGGGTATGTAGGGCTAGGTATGTTCGGGTCTTTTCCCGTGTAAGATTAAGAGTATCTTGGTGACGTTTCAACGAGGTCCTACTCACCATCCTCAGGCTAGTGCTTTTGGCTTCGTGCCAGTGCAAGCAGGAGCTGCCGTCTCTCTACAAATACTGGTGGTGGGGGCTGGTATGCTGGGCTGGTTGGCTGCGCTGCTGCCTCTTGATTGGTTGATGGAGTTGATGTTGGTATAATGGGCTGTGTGATGACCTTGTGAATTTTGTTGTGGAGATATCCTGGATCTTG